GCGGGGCTGAGGGGTCGTATTAGTTCTGCTACCCATCAGTAATCATTTTGAACTCATTTGGAGTAACCGTTTCTTTATAAAGCCAAATAAAAATCAGCTACAGTCTTCCCTGTGTGTGATAGAGTTTTCTCATTCTTTTTCTGTTCTGAATGTGACTTAGTAGATACAAACTTTTTATCAAATTATCAGATTAGATTACTTGACAGTGTAGAACATGCATTTGAGTACCTCTATTTTTAATCCAACATTCTTCACCATTTGGCTCGCACAATGCTCTGTGCTTCTTTAAAAGGGCAGGAAGATAAATTGCTGATATGATACTGTTCATCTAAATTTATAGCCCTAGACCAAAATTTCTTAAAGTTACTAATAATTTCCTTGAGCTCAGTTTGAAGTACCATCAAGGAGACTGATTTTCGAAAAGCTCAGTAGCCATCCTCAGTGCCGAATCCCTTTGAAGTGGTACTTAGATCACTGGCTGCCTTTGAAAAAGCTAGTTATGTTTAAGTAAAGTGGTATTGATAGATTAATTTTAGGTAGTTCCCCTGGTGAGTTGTAGGCATGGTGTGAGATTTTTTTTTTCCAACAGTTCTCTGTGTTGGTTTGGTGTCCATCGCTGAAATTAATAGTCTGAAGCAGGATTTCACTGGGAGTGGAACTAAGTCAACAAATGAAGAAACTTGGAAGTGTAGAACACCTGGGTGAAACAGAGGAATCTTGGAGTTATTGTGGTTAATGCTTCTGTAAAGGTACTGAGTTCTTTGAACAGCTGTGGTTAGAGAGTGCTGCGGGGTATCTTCTGCAGAGCTGAGAATGCAAGGATCTCCGTAACAGGTTTTTCCAGTTTACATTCATGAAAGGCCTGACCATAAAATCATAATATTCATGTTGTGTCCTTTAGCGTCACGTGATTGCAAGATAAAAGCCTGACACGATCCAGCTTTTTGACTGTTTTCATAAATAAACGCACGTAAGTCTCAAAATAGCTGCAGTGGAGCATGTTAAAGATACTTTCTGCTGCTCCCCCACTTTTTGTCACAGAGACAGGACTCCTGCAGAAAAGAGAGTCATCCTCCTTAAGAAAATTCTATCCACAAAATTTTTGTCCTGCTAAATATTTTATTTCACTCAAAAAAAAAAAAATGTTCATGTAATTGGTGCTTGATGTTTTTCCAAGTCCTTGTTTTGTGTATTTGCTTTCCCATTAAGCAATACGCCAGTGCAAGAGAGCACACGCCAGTTGGGTCAGCAACGTGATGTTTTAGTTCTCACTGGGAGCAGAAAGCCCAGAAATCTCATTTATCCACCCCCCGTGCCCCCCTTGCTTGCCTTCTGGCCTGTAAAATTACCTAGCCTAATTCTGTAAAGCCAGGAATTAAGGCCTAATCGTCCACACCTCTATTATTTTTATTTTTTTTCCTAGGCAGCCAATTAAATAAGTCAGTCTGTGTCACCTTAGACATTGTTTTATTTAAGAGTAGTAAAGGGTTTTGATAGTGTATGTCCTTGACACGTCTGTTGTTAGGAGATATGTTGGAGAGTGTGTGTCTCTGAAATTTTGGACCATATGCATAGTTGGATTTTTTTTTTTTTTTTTTTTTTATTTTGGAGGGTAGAAAAAAAAAAAAATTCAAATACAAGCCACCCATTGTTTTTTTTTTTTTTTTTTTAGATTAGGAGTGTAGAAGCAAGAAAAACACACTTAAATTGAGGTAAAAATGTGAACCTAAATTCTGGGATGACTTTGTTCGCTGAATGTCACTGGTGTCACCAGCAGCCACACCAGATCGCTCCAGCCTCCGTTCCCACAAGTAACGTGGCTTATTTTTCTGGGACATTTCTAGTGAACTAAACTGGCAACATGGAAGAATGTTAATTGCACAAGTGTGGTAGAAGGCAAGGTAATTTGCATTAAAAATACCAAATGTATTTCGAGAATGTCCGAGGGAAGGGTGTGTGCCAGGAGCTGGCATTTTTCTAGCCTTCTGTTTGGTGTGTGCTGTTCATTTTGAGGCTCAGTGGCCTGGGAGGGTTTATGGAAATAGGAATTTGGTTTAGAAAAATAACGTGAAACTTCATAAGTATTCAGGAAACAAGTTAACTTGGGGAACAGTAATGCAGCGGGACAGGAGAAACTTTGCCTTTGGTCCTGCCTCTGCTTTAAGACTGCAGATTTTATGGATGACTTCAGTAAATCACTCTCCTCCTGACTCAGTTCTGCATCTGAAAAATGGGGATTATGGTACTGAGTCACACCACAAAAGACTTTCAGATCCCAGGCAGGAGGAGTGTAAGACTTGGGATTTAGTGTATTTTTATTGTAGGAAGTCTCACCAAATTCAGTGATGTCTCTCTCCTTAGTGTGTGCTTTTGGTTGAGAGAAAGAGGTTTAGGCCCTGTCTACACTTTAAAAAACAAACAAAAAAAACATCCTTTAACTTTTGGTTTAGCTTTATAACTAGTACCTTTACCAGAACAGTTTGTCCTGATGGAAAAGTCCTAGCTGACAGAGAAAACTTAGTGTAGACGAGTCCCTTCTGCTGCCTGACATTTGGTTTCTGTGCCCTTTTTCTTACAGGCACGGTATGTCTTATGATGTTATTCCCTTTTTTCCCCTTTTTTATTTTATTTCCCCCCTCTTTTTCTGGCTAGGACCGTTCCCAAAGAGGAGGTTTGAGGGGTCTGGGTGCAGTGTGGGCTGTGTTGTCCATCCACTGGTGCTGAGTCTGGGCTGCAGACCCTGGGCAGCACGATGGGGCTGGGGCACAGCTGAGAAAGCCCTTATTGCTGGGCTCCATCGCCACGAGGCCTTCAGGAATCCCCTTTTTTTTGCCTGTCTCCAGTTTCCGCAGCGCGGGTGATGGCGAAAGCAGGTGCAACGTGACAGTGCTCAAAATAGCCATCTCCATAACCCTTCCTACAGGCGACGGGGGTGTTCCAGCTCCCGCCCCTCTGAGATGAGCTTGCTTTGCAGACCCAGGGAGTTACTCCGAAAACATCCAGAGATCCCTGCCGTTCTTGACACAGGCTCTTTAGAAATAGAGTTATCAATCCACTTTGGTTTAGTATCGGTACCGAGGAGGGCACTGGTTTCCTAAGGGCTTTCCCAGAGGATCACTGGTGCTTTGCACGGCTAATTGAGAGCAGGAGGGAAAGGCAGCAGTGAGAACTACATTAAGAACTCAATCCCAGTTTCTATCTAGAAAAACAATCCTTTTTTATCTTTTTCCTCCAATCCTCAACTTCCGTATAATCTATTAGCTTTAAAGCTAGTTGAAATTAGGGGTTGAAAGATCCCTTTAGCGTTTTGTTTCTGGGGGAGGAATGAGTGGTGTGCATTTGAAAATTCAGGTCAGATTTTCTCAGATGCTTTGTCTCTTTGGATTTGAGGCTTTTTTTCCCAAGTTTCCCACAGGATCTAGGCATTGGTTCATTGCATGCAATAACACACAGATGTTATTGATTATAGAAGAACTTTTACAAGTCATAATTAATTCTTTGACATTAAGCATTGCTTAAATGGAAACATTCTAAATAAAAAGAAACTAAAATTTCTCTCCTCTAGTTATAGTAAAGAACTGAAGCCAAACAAACTAAACTTTTTTTGGATATTCTGCTGTTTCCCTTGGTAACAGTCCTTATATAGGACAACAAAATCTGGCTTTTGTTGACTTCCTCATTACCACTTTCTGATTCTTACACACCAGACAAATACTTCAGTATTAAATTCACAAAGGCTGGAGGGTATGATTTACATACAACAATAACAAAACTTTGGCAGAATGTTTTAACCACAAATTTTAATTTGGAAATAATTGAATTGCTTACTTTTCGAAATTTCTGTGGTTGTGTTTTTGTGTTGTAATGGAAAATTTTGCACTTTATGCCTAACTTGCCGTTACACTGCACTACAGAATCCCTGGGCGAGGGCAAACAATAACTGAAATGTCCTTTAAAGGGTACGTATTGAACGCTAAAAATAACCTGGAGAAAAAACTAACTTTTAACTTTTCTTAAACGTGTTGTTGTGTAATAAAATTACACATAAGTAGTTGGTTTTGGTTAGACTCTTAAGGAATTTGCATACACAAGATAGGTATGGAATTACCGCGCGTACGGGGGGCACACAGGTGCGAGGGGGAGCAGGCATGCGTCTGCACGCACCAAGGAGCTACAAGTATGTGCAAGATAGCAAAAGATGCTGAATTTAAAAACAAATAGGGGACTTTTTTATCCTTTAGTGTAAGGACATTTAGCTTGGGTATACATTTGAACTGAGATTGTATGTCCAGAATATGGCATAAGCCTTTCTGTGTCCCTCGCTTTGACTCGTGTTCTCTGACTTCTGGAAATCACAGTCGACAGAGATGCAGCACTGTCAGTTAAAATCTCTGATTTTCACTTGCCCTTTGGGATTCTTGGAGTTAATTTAAAATTTGAAGTGAAATAATGTATCATCTGCAGTAAAGGCACTGTAGCAGTGCTCCCTGGAGTGACCAGTGTGTGTCCCTGCCGAGTTGTGCCACTGCTATGGTGGCAAAAGTACCACAGACTTTGGTCTTGAAAAAAAGGACCAGATGTGATACTGTGCTTATGTAAAGTAAAATTCCGTCTCCATAAATATGTATTTTAGAACCTGGTATGGACTATCCTGAGAAAACAGGCTGTGACTCTTTTAGTTGTTCTTTACATAGCTCTGGATTTGTCTGTCTGTCCCCATTGGAGGGTCTCTAGCTGGGCCACCAGGTGGGAGGCTGGACACTGCTCCCAGTTGACATTGTTTCCTACTCAAATAAACAAACAGGGTAAGTCCAGAACAAGGCAAAAAAAGCCCCTCCTGCCTTCAGAAGAGTCTCTCAGTACTTGCAGTGTGGGCAGAGGGAGTGTATGGTTTTTTCTCATCACTTTCTGAGGCCTCTGTAGGGCCACAAAGCATGTCTCTGTTTTTTCCTCCCCGTACCTAATGCACATGGATGAGTTTCTTCTGCCTCTTTGTGCAGTTACAGGCTCCGCGTGGCCTCTAGATGTCCCTCCTCCTCTTCGCATAACACCAGCTCCAGGCAAGGCAAGAAATCCAGCTGCGCCGCATCCCACTTCGTCAAGGAATAGCCCCTTCTGCATGTCCAACCACACCAGGTAGGGCAGCGCGGCCACGGGAGGGTGCACAGAGCTCACCCATCCTCTGTTTCTGGGGACAAGGGGTGCAAAGTGCCTCACAGATGTTATCCCAGCCTCAGAAAACCCCCAGTGTTGTTGCTCTTGTAACTGGTCAGTGATAAAAAAGCAGGTGTGAAGCAGGAGAGCGAGGTGCCCTATAGCGACAAGGTCTTCTCTAGTCAAGTGTGCTTATATACTATGGATAAAAAAGATCTGTTAAGGCTTTTTACCCTTATGGAAGATGGAAGGAGAATTTTCTTTCACTTACAAGCTTTTAAACCTGAGATTTTGCTCCTCTGGATCCCGTGGGGAGCTTGAAGATGGTGGTAATTTTTGTAAGGATGCGGTTTGTCCCCATTTCTTTCTGTATCTGAGGGGAGTGGGGAAAGCCCTTGGAGATCTTTTAGCTGAAATGGGTAAACCCTGAACAAATATTAACTCCGACAAAAAAAAAAACCAAACTCGAAAATTGCCTGGGAATGCGTCTTATGGCTGGCTGCTTTGGTTGAACACCAGGAGCTCAAAGGCCAGTATTACAATGGAAATTGCAGTAACACACAGACACATTAGCTGGGCTTGTGGCGAGATAAACTGCTGTAATAAAGCTATATGGGCTCGGATGAATTAATGATCTGGTCTGGTGTTCTTGGTGAAGCTGAATCGATTTCCTGTTGGCTGACTTCAAACAAGACACTATTTTCTGCTGCTTCATTTCCCCACCTGCGACGTGCCCATAATCACCTCCTTTGTACTGATGTAACAGCTGAGGAACGTTACACTTACATGTGTAAAGGTGAGAGTGAGTGCCAGCAAAATCAGACACTGCAGCCTGATGTTTATTCTTTGTTAAGTATGCTCAAAAAATAACATTTGGGGGGAAAGTTAGTAAAATGCTGAAGTTTACTACTTCTCAAATAACAGTAGTGGTTGCTAATGAGACGTTAACATCCCTAACTGTGGCAGGGACCGTTTAGTTGTGGGAAACGCAAGGAAAAGTTAAATCATGGGCATCTCTCCCGCACTGCGCTCACCGAATGACTTGCCGGGGCGGTCACTGTGACTATTTAGTCTTCAAGCTGGCTCTGATTAAATGAAACTCTCTGTGTATTTGCAGGCACTAGGAACTTTTGACTGGAGAAGGTGAGGTGAAGTGATCCTCGAGCATTATCCTCTCCTGCTTTTTCTCAGATGAGGTGAGACCGGTTCCTCCGGAGGGAACAAGGACAGTGGTTTCTTCTGCTGGAAGCAACGGAGCGCTTCTGTCACAGTGTCCTCCCTGCCAGAGGGAGAGGGACACAGCGTGGAGCAGGCTCCTGCCTTCTCCAGAGAGTGATGAGCTGTGGGTGCTGGTGAGATGACAGGGTGATCTCCAGGTGCCCTGCTGTGTAGAGTCCATGCATCAACAGCCTGTGGAACAGCATGGAGAAATGTTCAGACATTTGCAGGCAGATTAACCGTGTTCAGAGGGTTGATGGGTCTAGATGAGTCTCCTCTTTCTTGTAGAACACAGAGGGGTTTAACATACTATGCAATTCTGAAAAGACTGTTACATCCTTTTAGTTTCTACTTTACATCCTAACGGGTAAAAAACTGGGCATCCCACAAAAATCCACTGAAGGGAGTGGTAGGTTTTGCTGAGGTTTCCACATCTGAAGGCTGTGGGTACCCCAGTCTCGACTGTGCACCATTAGCTTTAACGGGCATGCTTTAACGCCATTGCTTCCCAAGTGCATCAGGACCCACATTGTTATGGGTTTTTTTTGAAAACCACCTGTGAAGTGATCTCTGTGAAATGCACTGATAGCCCAGTGTCATAAAGGGACAAACATCCATTTCTCCAAAACTGCCATTGCATTTGTCGCCAGTCTGGGACTCCTGGCAGAGTCAGGATTTCTCTCGTTAGTGAGAGTATCAAAGACACATGTTGCCATGCAGCATCAAGCAACATTTTCCTTGAAATACAGAGCTTGTGTTTGCGACCCTCAATAGAAGTGTGTTTAGTTTCAGTGGTCCTGCAGAGAGGGCATCTGTGAAGGTATCTGACAGCCAGTAAAGACAAGTTGCAGAAACACAGGTCAGTCGCTAAAAAGCAGTGCAAAAAGGTCTCTTACCTCCTGCTCCAAAATGGTGACAATCACACATGGGTGCATCATCTGGCAGGGCACTTCTCCAGCCCCTGCACATTTCACCTCTGAGATGAAGGGTTCCTTCTATCAAGACAAGTTTTTTCAGGATCCCTGCTGACATAGAGTCTGGGTTTGGGATTTTTCAAGGAGGCCAAGGGGGTCGATTGCCCTGTTTCCCCCTTGTTTCAGTCAATTCATTCCTCTCCTTGTCTTTGCACTCCACACAGATAAGCATGTCTGTGTATGCACACCTTAGTTAAGAAAAAACAAGTGCCCGGTTGATACTCCTCCCCACCACCCTGAAAAAGTCAAAAAAAGGATCAATTTTTTATATATCTACATATATATATGAGAACCATATATATGAATATATATATGTATGAAATTGCTGAAAACAGTTAATTTTTTATAGTTTTGATGAAAATCAATTTGTTCAAAATGAATACAAAAGCTTTAAACGAAAAACATTGGTTTTGTTCACCGTAAAAATGTTTTAGCTACGTGTTGTTTGAGTTGGAAAGAAAAGGTCTCCAGGATCTTGTATTATTTAGCTACAGATTTTTTGGATAACCCCCTACTGGAGCCCTTCTAAGTGCAATTGTGGTTTGGGGGAAGGCTGAGATGCCGAGAACTAGATGAGCCATAGAAAGCTACATCCCCTCCTGTGTTGGAAGTGATGCTTCCAGTTGAAGACTGTGAGAGCATTGAGATGCAGGCTTTGTGGGGAGAGCTTGTGCCATTGCCAGCTCCTCTGTCTCTTTATGAGAGCGGAGAGTCTCTAGGATTTGTCCCTTCTTGAGCTTTTTTGCTAGCAATAATTTCCTCTTGAAATATGTGATGTACAAATTCCAAACAAAGGCTGAAATTTTTCACAGCAGCCTCGGAAGACTGAGATTCTCATTATTCATTAAAACTTGTCGGAAGCGAGTATCCAAATCTGCTAGGCAGCTTGGTAAATATTGGTCAAATAGCACAGAAATTAAGTTTCCTGGCCTTATGTGTATCTCAAAGAAGTTGGCGTGCACATAGAGCTCTCTAATCACTTTGGCTCACATTAGTTTTGCACATTATCATTCTTATTTTCTCTCCACATTTTCTCCTTCTCATCATCTAGTATTAGTATGGTAAACCCTGTTCTTTCAAACAGGAATTATCTTCCCATGTGTCTGGACAGCATCTAGATCATTGGAAAGATGAATTATACAGTGCTAATAAAAACCAGCTCCGATATACTCTGTCTTAAAGTACCAGTATGATATGCCCTTGCTTTCCCAGCACAGCTTTGTTAGGCGTTTTGTCGAAGATCACACTTACTGTACAAATTCTCACCGGTCACATGAGGATGGTTGCTGAGGAAGAGCTTTCTTGCCATCCAGCCCAAATCCTGCTGGAAACAAATCCGTTCTTCCGAGACCCACTCGACTTCCAGGAACAGTAAGTTAAATTAAGTACAGAGTTTCTGGCACGGATGCTGCTGAGTTTAGTGCCTTTAAGGCATGCCAATGAGGTTATTAGAGGTCACTTTTTGTGCAATTTATTTTTGCTGCTTTTTTTAGAGTGGTATTAACTATAATAACTGACAAACTCAAGGAGAGAAGTGTGTAAATTGTTGTGATATACGAACATTTTCCCCAGAGAAATTCTGGTTTATCACATAAGCCTGTAAATATGTATTTACAATTTTAAAAGCACGTCTTTATGTCCCTGGTTGTAAATGCTCCATTTTTAAAGTTTTATAACGTGTGTTACTTAACCAAGAGACCACAGTACACAGCTTTATATTGTTTTGGTCTATTTGAAGGATCCATAACGCTCTAAGCTGTGGCAGAAAATTATCCACACCACTGACAAGAAATAACTCATGGTTACACCAGACTTTTCGTCATTTTCCCTCAGATAACAAATGGAGTTTTTTTGGGAGGACGGGGGAGTTTCTTGCAGAAAAAAGAATCAGTTCAAAATGGTGTCATTTCTCTAGGACAATGATATTTTATTCACAGTAAATTCAGGAAAGTATGCCTTTTTTTTTTCCAAGGCAGAATTTCACAGTTTTGCAGCAAATTTTTAACCTCCCCCGTGCCTGCTGATGAAACGTGAAATTTTGCCCTTGACTAATATCACAAGGTCTTGTGAAAATTCAAGGAGAGGGTGGGGAAAAAGCTCAGGTTTGCATGTAGGAATTTGTGAGGCTGACACCGGTAGTTCTGTTGTGCTGATACTGAGAAGTTTATTAAAAATAAACTGTTTGGAGATGTGGTATTACCTGGTTGGCGCTGGGGTTCTGAACATTGCTCTGGAAGACTGAAAGCTCTGCTGTCTGTCTGCCGTGTAAAGAGAAAGAACAACAATAAATTAATGTGACAAACCGCATCATGGTAATATTTATTATTATTTACACAAGGGAAGTCTTCAAAAAATGGAGATCCAATGTATTCTAGCTCTGAAATGGCTGAAGTAAGGGAACTGCTGAGGCTCGGTGGCAGCCATTTATCACTGGAGCCTTAGCCACAGTCTTTAAAAGCAGTAGCAGGTAAACAAGTTTGGGAACAGTTCATAGAATCATAGAATGGTTAGAGTTGGAAGGGATTAAGATCCCTAAAGATCATCTAGTTCCAATCCCCTGCCCTGGGCAGGGACACCTCCCACCAGACCAGGTGGCTCCAAGCCCCCTCCAACCTGGCCTTGAACCCCTCCAGGGATGGGGCAGCCACAGCTTCTCTGGGCAACCTGGGCCAGGCTCTCACCACCCTCACACCAAAGAAGTTCTTCCCCAGATCCCATCTCAATCTCCCCTCTTCCAATTTAAAACCATTACCCCTTGTCCTGTCACTGCACTCCCTGACACAGAGTCCCTCCCCAGCTCTCCTGTAGCCCCTTCAGATATTGGAAGGGGCTCTAAGGTCTCCCCGGAGCCTTCTCTTCTCCAGGCTGAACAACCCCAGCTCTCTCAGCCTGTCTTCATAGGAGAGGTGCAGTTGAAGTATAGGTATTAATATTAATTTCACATAGGCTAAAACTGGTTCTTTTGCCCCAGGAAATCTGAGGATTCCTTCTGCATTATAAATCTGACCTGTTAATAAAAATATCACTGTTGTCACCCTTGTGTGGTGTTGCCTTCCTGCAGCAGCCAGTCAGTCAGCCTCCTGTGCGATGTTGCAGCCTACCTGATTTTTATTAAATAGCAGCTAGTTTCAGTGAAATTGTGAGTTAGATTTTGCTGAACTGTCATTCTCTCCCTGCATGAGAATCTTCTGAAATATTCTTTGACTAGATAGCTACGCACTTTCTTTCATCTGCCTGTGCTGCCACATGAAGTGGCACTAATTACTCCTTTTTGTAAGAGCTGGGGCTGTTTTGGAAGAAGATTACCTTCAAAAACAGGTGAGGAGAAAAAAACATTCTCATAATGAAGCCACTGCCTAAATCCTGTTCCCTGTGCCCCTGTGTGTGTGTCCTGCTGCTGGCACTGCCAGGAGGCAGAGGGACCTGGACAACACGGCACTGCCGGTGGCAGAGTCATCTCACAAAACCTCAGTTATGAAAAGTGGTTGAGCTGTTTCATTTTTTGGCATAAATAAGTCCTTCAAGGCTATAGGACGTACAGAATATTGTGTGCGCTGAAGGAAAAAACCCTTGGTGGACATGGAGGACTCGAGGACGTCACACCTGAGGTCCCCGACAGCTTGTCATCTCCTGTGTGAGATGGGTCAGAAGGGTAGAAATAGCAATGTGCATCAAGCTCTGCTGAGTAACGTTCTCCTGGATGAGGAGCGATGGAGCCTGTCGCCGCGGGGTGCCTGGGGTTGCATCAAGCCAAGGTCGTGGCTCTGAAGCCCTCGTGGCTGCTGACGGGCAGCCGGGGTGAAGGATGCCCCCGGCCCCGTCCCACCAGGGCAGGCAGAAATAGCTGTGCCTCCTGACGCGAGGGACATCGCTCTGGGTTTAGGGATGAGCTTGCCCGGGAAGCTGACAGAGAAGCACGTTCTGGCCCGCTGGTCACGGATAATCATCGTTTATTCTCTGGCGAAGAAGAGGAGGGGGACGGACAGACGGGTGCTTGGGGGTGGGAGGGGATTTCAAGCCGTGCTGCGCTTGGTTTATGGCTCGCTTCGCCGCTGCCTCGGAAGAAGAGGCAGTTGTTAAAGATTAAACTGCCCTGGAAATATTATCTTAGATACGAGACTAATGAAAATAGCACAACCCCCCTCTTTATTACTCAGCTAAGTTTTGGGTCACCTTGACTTCAGCAGGGCTTTGCAGGGTTGGTTTGCTTTCTATGAATTTTTTCCTGCCCTTGCTTTGCCGGTGTCGATGGCTGTGAGGACAACTGGGCAGGAGGGTGGTATCTCCAGGCTCATCTCCTCACCCCTCCAGCTGAAGCTCTGTGGGACAGACTGTTTGGGGACCAGCATCACATCAGAACATTTGTGCTATAAAACATACTGCTCATTATTATATGCATCCTGTATGCATCTCCCCAATATGTTTACTCTCTTGTACATTGAATTCTCCTATAAGTGCTTAACTGACAGGCTCCCTGAACTTCATTCTTTGGTGTCTCTATTTGGTGCAGTGATTAAGGCTTACCTGGGGCATATCAATTTAGGAATGCATCTTAATTTAACCTTGAGAAGTGAAATATCCCGGCTGTTTCCTTTCCTAGTAGATAATGTCTGTATCTGAGTCCAGCTTCTCTTTGTGCCTAGCACTGACTGATTAGACTCCTTTCATAGCTGGGATTTCTTTTCTACAAGGATATTCAGACATTAATTAAGCCATACTTCAGCCTTACTTTTGATAAACTACTGTTTTAGAGCAGGGCTTTTTCTCTCTGCACCACTTACTCATTTTCTTCTGTGACATTCAGACTTCTATTTTTTTGGAAAGAATAAAGCCCAACCAAACAAAACTCTCTTTCAGCCAAGAACTGATGGAGATGTAATCTGAAGGAAGGGAGAAATATGTTTAATTGCTGTCTCTGATGCCAAACCTTAAGTGCATTGTTTCAAATTCATTGCGAGTTGTACAAAATACTCATTTTTCCTTTCATGACACAGGCATCAGGGTTGCTTAAACATTACAGAACTGATCTCTGTAGTCTTGCCTGTGGAGGAATAATTGCACCCATACATCCCATGCATCCAGCCAGCGATTTTGCCAGCCCTCCTTGTGACAGTGCTGTGCTGGAAGCAAATGCAAAAATATTGTCTAGTTTTTTGGTTTTTTTTCTGGGTCTCTGCCTTGTAACAGTGAAACACCGGCTTCTGACACACCAGAAATGAGTTCTCACTTGTTACCATTCATTGCTGATGACATCTCATTAGGGATGATATCTGAATTTTTCTGTGTTCTTTCCCGAGTCCTCCATTCCCGAATCCTTTGCTGCTGAGAACGTGGTTGTGAGTAACCCTCATTTCTTGCACGGGGTATTTCTAGAGATATAAAATATCTCTGTAATGAAACACCTATTCTATTGATGTAATGAGTTTAACCCAGTTCTTCTTTCTCTTTTGTACATATTCACGTGGCACATTGTTGTTGGTGCAGTGACATAATTAGGTGTGGAAAAGAAGCAGATATCCATTAAGCTGACATTTACCAAGGCTTTTCAGTCCTGATGTGACCTGCTCCTGTGCTGGTGTCACCGTGGTGCTGGAGGGGCACAAAGCCACTCCTTTGGCATCTCGAGACTTTGGAACTCCCTGTCAGGTCGACTGATGATCAGCATGGAGAAAATTAGTTGCTACATCCTCATAAAATGTCATGCCCACACAGACATTGGTCATTCCAGACCGAGTGCTAATAAAGGTGCATTAGGTGGGTTTCTCACTTGGAAATTTGATGGTAACTCAACTGCAGTGTTATTAAGCTGCTCGTGTTTTTGCACTGGAGTAAATTTCCCAATGAACAGCTGTGTTTGGCTCCATCAGTGACCTCCTCTGCAAAGCAGAAATGTTATAACCATCCTCTGACCAGGGCGCCGACGTCAACCTGGGGTAGAACAAGGCTCTTCAAAGAAGGGATGCCACATGGCGGTGGTCTGGTAGATCTGGGATGAAGGGGGTAGATCACTCAGGGTCTACTGTGGTGTTATTGCTGTTAATTTTTCCTTTGAAAAGCAAGCAAGCATCCAGCTGAGGTCACATCTCTTTTTCTCGGTAATCAAAAGGCACACAGGACCAAATCTGCCCCTAGCTGGCTGAGGCTTTATCTGTGACAAAGCTCACAGGAAGCAAACATGGATAAAGAGTGAATTTTCATTTCTAGAGATGGCTGGCAGAAACACAGGCTTTTCAGAGCAGTGATCATGCAAAAGCCTTAATGACTGCACAGAACTCCCATGGAGAAAGTGAAGGTTTGAAAGCAAAGTTGCCTGTGGGAGCTCGGTTCGAGGTGGTCACAGTCACTGGACACCTTTTGTGCCCCCGTTTGGAGGCCATGGGGCAGCTATTGGAGCTCAGTACCCACCGATGCTCTTTGCCAGGTGCAGGATTTCCCCTTAACCAGGTGGCCAGAGAGACGGGTCGGGTCGGGCAAGCCCTCCCCTGGCAGAGTCCAACCTAAGGGAAGGCTGGGTGGTTTGGGAAGGGCTGGCAGAGGAAATAGAGGTGCCTGGTTGGGTATTTTTTTTTTGCCAACAGAAGTCTTTTCATATCTAGTTGAGAATGCAGCCATTGTTTTTACATCTCATTAAGCTTAACGGAAGCTGACACTTCCCAGTTCAGCACACGGCTTGTGTTAGGAAGGAGAAGAGCAGAATAAGCTCCCACTTACTAATGGGCAGGGACTGACCCTCTCCCTCTCCCCTCCCTCCCACACTGCCAGGTTTTGTTCACCATGTGCAAGCACAGCATCTCTTACAGTGAGCTCCAGTGTCTTAATGAATGTCACATTATTCCTAACCCTAATATTTTTTCTTTTCACCTAAGAAGATAAGCTTTGAGTCAGTTTATCTGCCTGTTTTACTAGTAGTTATCCACATAGATGTGGAGTCAGTCGCTGTAGCTGATGGAGTTAGCAGTGACACGTGCAGAATTGCCAGGGGGGGACCTTAAGAAACCTCATATATGTTAAATAAACCTCAGATTGTTGTGGTGAATGCAGAGGCCCAACGAGGGAACGTCTGGCATTGGATGGCGCTGGGCACAGCAACGCAGTTGTCAGCTGTGTCAGTAAAATTCAGGTGAGCTGCAGCGAAGTAGGTGGAAAATACCACAGGAAAATTTCTGTACCTCTTAGAGGGTCACTTCTTAGGAACAAAATATACTGACCTAAATCAGAGCATCCCTTGGTCTTTTCCTTAGAGGAAAGACCAAACACCACTGTGCTCCTGTGCTGTGGATCTGCTCCCAGCCTCCCGCCAGGCGAGAAGGTGATCAATGCTGAGCTGGTCCACAGCTCCCAAACCAGAGGAGGGCTTGTTTTCTTGCTTTCTGGTTTTTAGGGGCATGTACTGACTTGATCTACTGGCTGCAAGCTGTGAACAATGGTGCTAAACGAAGCGTGGCCGCTCAGCCTGTTGTGTAACCTGCACAGTGCCCCACAGACAACCACCAAACCCCAGTGCTGCTGGGGGGCCACGGGGAGCTGGAGGGGGTGGGGACCTTGCCGTCTCCCCAGCAGCGTAGCTACAAGGCAGGCTGGAAATCTAATACTAAACAAGCTTTAAGACTTTCCCACTTTCTCTTTTCCCTCTTTGGGAAGCTTTCCTATACCCAGGGTACCCACCTTGCAAGTGGCATAGTCCTTACCGCCTGCAGAATATGGATTTTCTGACTTTTGGGTGGGCTTTTTTGTTTTTCAGGACACTTCAATGCACTCTCTTAATGCATAATGGAACTGGGGAGGAGGAAAACTGTATCTGTGAACTGCTCTGCAACACTAAAAACCCTGAAACCTTGAAGAGCTGGAAAAGTTTTGCTAAGGAAATAGGGGAAAGGGACTTTCAGGTAGCCTCTTGTATAATTTTTATTTTTTTTTAAATTATGCTTTAATATTTCAGAGCTGGATGCAGTGATGCAGGGGATTTTACAGAGCAGTTGCCAAGGAGCTCAGGTAGTGCTTTCTGCTACGTGATCAGGAGAACACGTTGCACAAGGTGATGCTGGAGGTAGAACTAGTCCCTTTGCTCTTCACTTACCCCTCCCCACCCAACTAAACACCATTCTTCTTATATCAGCTTTTTTTGACATTTGACATAGTTTTAGGACATGCTTCTGTAGGCTTCAAACATCAACAGGCTTTGCCCAAGTGACTGTTTTGCTCTGGGCATGGTCAGAGAGGAGAGAGCAAACAGGCACCTCAATCAGGGAGGAAGAAAATAGCCACAGGAATAAATACCTGAACGTTGAAGGCACCTGGACCAAATGGGCCAAATTTTGCTTTCCCCCATGTAACAGAGAAGGCGGTCAAGTTAAATCTTTTTCTCCTTGTGAGGACAGAAATCACTCCCGTGTCTTTGGCAAAATAAACATGCAAAGATGTCCCTGGGTTTTTTTTTTGTTTGTTTGTTTGCTTGGATTGTACTCTGTCATAGCTGATCTGAGCATTTTAATCATTATAGGAAGGAGCAATCTCACAGGAGGTGATAACTTTCACAGTACACAACCAGCTGTTAAAGTACTAAATCTACCAGCTTCTTTGCTCTAGAGGGAGAGGGAGTAGACACAATAAAATGAGAAAGACTGGGATGTTCTGGGCAGTGCTGATCCCGGCTGAGTGTCTGCCCTGCTCAGCGGTACGGCCCGACGAGCTGCCCCTCCTGCAGCACAGACCAGGAGACCTGACTTCAATTCCCTTCAATTCCCTGCTGCTAACGTTTCTCCAGGTGTCCCTGGGAAAGTCACTTTGCCTCCCTCTGCCTCAGCTGGGGCTGGGATCCCCCCCCGCCTCAGCCGGGGGGTTGAGTTACCCGCAGGTGACTGGCATGGTCTGCCCTGGGCTGTCTGCTCCTAAAATCTGACAGTTTTGTATTTCCCCCTAGGGCAGTGTGTGTTTTCCAAGCCGTGCAGTAACCTTCCTTCCCAGCAAGCTTCCCAAAGAAAGCGCTGATGACTCACGGAGGATAAAATTATGCAGAGCTCCTGGAGCCAGCATCCCTCGCCTTGGCAAGAGGGAGTTTTTAAAACAAAGATGAGTCAGCTGTGTCAGACTTTGCTGGGAGTTAACTCTTGGCCCCTCTTCCGTGCGAGCAGCCCTGGTCGGTATTTACAGGGCAGGAGGGAGAGCAGCCCGGGGAGATGTGGGGGGCAGAGGGATGGGTGTCAGCCAGGCGGGTTTGGGGTCCAGGCCTTGTCCCCGTCCCCTGGGGGATGTCACCCGCGGGCGTGAGGGGGTTAAGCGGGCGGCTCTCGCTGCCTGGCTGAGCCAGCGCTTCCATGTGCCTCCAGGAGAGCTCCCGGGAAGAGCCGCCGCATCAGGGCAAGGAGAGGGGGAGAGGGAGGGAGGGACACTGCAGCAGGACAGCGGCGATGTTATTTAACGGCGGCTCCAATCTCCTCCCCCTCGCCGGTTTTTGCAGGGGGAAGGGGCGGCAGAGGCCCGTAAGGAAGGACTGAACGGCGGGCGGGGGGTTCATGCCGGGAGCTGGCAGCGCCCCCGGGAGCAGGGTCCGGCGGGGGGGCGGGGAGCCGCGCAGCCCCCGCAGCCGCGGGGACCATCTTGGGCGGCGGGAGCCGGGGCTTCCACTGCCATCGGCTTCTGGAAGCCTCCTCTGACCTCCCAACGTCAGCCTCGGGCTCCAAACCCTGGAGAGAAGCTGAGATCTTTCTGGTATTTCAGCATCTTCCAGCGTCCTCGGGAAGGACAGAGGGTCGGCATCCCGGTGTCTCCCCGGGGTCCTTGGGGAGATGTGCCCGAGCTGATGGACGCAGTAGCTGCTGGGTTTAGACATCTCAGCTCCACAAGGAGAAGAAAAGAGACTCGTATCTTTGCTGTAACTATGGCAGGTACCCCAGAAGGAGTCAACCTTTGTTGCCTAAGGCTAATTTATGCCTGAGGCCACCAGATCTGCCTAGGACACACCACAAAACTCCTGGAAAAGATAGAGACAGGTCTCAATGAGTATACTGATGACACTCAACTGAAAACAGCTGTGCTGCTGCTCTCCCTTGAAGAGAGAGAGAGGAGCACCCTCTGAGGTTGGGACGAGGCTCAGTGGGGATCTTCTCCTGCCTGCTGAGGTCCTGTGGGGGACAGGAGGCTTCTTACAGCTGCTGGGCTCTGCTCCATGACTAACACAAAGGACCCGAAGAGAGCTATGGACTCCTCTCCAGTGACCTCCAGCTCTGCGACAGGCCCCGTCACCTTCTCACACGTTTTTGGGCAGCAGTGCCAGCTGATGGAAGCAGGTAAGAGGGGAATGCGTGTGTGTACGTACAGCCTTGACGCCCTACATCTCACCTCCTGGTCTGCAGTGTCCTTAATCCCATCCCTGCCTCCTCTTCCCTTCCCTGTGCTGTTTCCCAAGTTCCTCCCCAAATGTGGTACTTTCCAAATGGAAAGTTGGAGTAACCCCTGTTGCATTTGCCCCTGCCTTAACTTCTCCCAAAACCACTTAAAAGCTTTACGTCTAAACAGTTATAAATTTGAGGCAAAGGCTGGGATGATTTTGTGTTTTGGATTACTGTGGACTGGAACAAGCTGCTCTCCACCTGACAGTGGAAGTTACCATTATGTTTAGGTGTGTACAAAATACATATAGCATTTTTTTTCCAGTTTATAATGATGATATTGAAACTGGAAGTTGATGTGTTGTTTTGGAGGGTTACTTGCAGTACAGAACATCGCTAGGTGTGCAGATCTGTGCTTTGGAATTCAGTTCTATAAAGGATAAAATATTTGGGTTTTTCCCTTTGCTTTCTCTGGCTGTTCATGTTACCGTAGCACCTCGAAGCTCTGCTCCTTTTCCCAGCCGTTTTTGTATATTTGTAACATCTCTACAGACAGGCCTCATTATTTCTCATCTGCAGCTTTTGAATACTAAGGAAGGAGTGTGTAACAAGAAGTACACCCAAATTTCCTGTGTTTGCCTCTTGCTTTCCTTACTGCTCTGCACAGGTGCTCTGAAGCTCCATTAAGTGCCCCAGGGCTTTGCACCACCATCCTCCTTCAGACCCGAGTTCCCAAGATTAATAGACTGGCATAATGAATTTTACAAGGCTTGGGCTCTTTTTCCTATCCTTGTTTACAGGTAGCTCTGAGAATGGGTGTATGTATTTACTTATGGCTGGGGAGAAAGCCTGGGTTTTTGCAATGATACCATAACACTTGCTTTGAATTTCTGGGGCTTGTTTTACTCAGACCTACTGGTACTTTTTTAGTGCTGTTTGTGATGGTGCATATATCTCAGCAAATATGTTCTCCAGAGCGTCCCATTCCCTCTTTCTCTCTCTTCTCTCCACTCAATTCTGTAACTAATGATGTTTGGTTTGTAGTGTTTCTATTTAAGTGGTGAGATCCAAAATATTATTTATTAGACTTCAGCTGCAGATTTCTGTGCGACTTCTGTTGTGCCTCTCGTATTACTTTCACAGGAGAATGACTCGTTAGCGGACAGCTACTCAATTAATCAAGCCTGAGATCATGCTGCTGCCTCCAAGGAAACGTCTGGCAGTTTTTCAAGAGGGTTTGGTATTAATCTCTCATATTATATGGCCTGGGATCAGTCCAAAGGCTGTGGATCCATTATGTCAGACGTTACACAAAGAAGAGATGTGCGAGAAAGCCCTGTCCTGGTTGGGGGTTTAGGTTTCCAAATGAGTAAGACCAACCAGGTGGGAAAACACAGGTGGTAACTTTAGTTGTTTTTGCTTTCCCTTTCCCTTTCTTACCAGGAAATGCCAGGGAGGAAACCTGTGAATCTGGGGCTTTTGAATCCCACCTCAGTGATACAACCATAAGATTTTCTTCTTTCTGGTGGATCATTCTGGTAGGATTTTCTTGGTGTCTTCTCGGGCATGTGCAGCCTTCAGGTGCAAGGTGCAGTGCAAAGTAAGGGTGGCTGCTGTGAATGTCACTGATGTTCAAAGCAAATGAGTAGATATGTGTGTGTGTGATTTACACGTATGTGAGCTTTCTATTCTTATGGTAATAGCAATATATACTCAGTGTGTCTGAGAGCAGAACTTCAGCTGACGTGTTTGTGAACATGCTTGTGTTCAGAGGGCCTTGGAAAACTTGGCTGCCCAAGCTGTCACCATGCTCTGGAGTTTTAATGTGGGCAGGAAGGATGTCCTAAGGAAACAGGAGGGGATACAGGTTTAGGACACTGTAACTTAGTTGTGTCCGATGCCACTGAACAAATGACACTTGGGATAGAGCTGTAAAAGGGCACTGCATTGTGTAGGGCTGTGAAATTGCCTCTACAAACCATAAAACCAGATCTTGCCCCTTGTGATCCTTTTGGGATGACAATTTCTGAGGAGCTATGTCAAGTCAAGTTCTGACCTGTATAGTCCAAGTTTCATGAGCAAGACTTGTAGACACCCAGTACCACATCACTGTCGTTGGTGGCATTTGGGCTTTTTTAATAACACCGTGATGTGCTTGAATGATAAAGAGCCTGGCCTTAATTAAATGTCAGACTATGTGCCTGGAGAAATGCTGAACTCTAACTAAATCACAGACTTGACAGCACAACTTTCCTGTACCACCTGGAAACATCTCATGTTTTCTGTAGCTTCTGCCTTTGTCAGAAGGAGTCTTTTCCTCCAAAGCACCTGCAAGAAGAGCTGGGGTCTGTTGGCAGAAGGTGCCTCAGGTTTGTGTAGCAGTATGTGTCCTTGTGGGACAGAGCAGGAGGTGCATGGCATCCCATTGCAAACGTGTGTCCCCTCCAGCCTACTGCTGCTCTTCAGTAATTTGCTCTGAAAAACAAATATTGAATGTCTTGAAAGTTAACTTTTCTCCTGCCAGCTGCATGTCTTCACGTTTAGTGAAAGACTTGAGAAGTTTTTCTGTGCAGCTGATTCTGCATAAGTGGCTGATTATTCATGCATAGTTTCTGTAGATTTGCATAATACCCTAGGTTGTACTATGGTAATCACAATATTAGCCTAAAGAGTATGTCGTCATTTGGGAGCCCTGCTCCGAAGCTGTTTTGCCCTTTGCACAAGCACTTGATCTTTATTTAACCTCTGCAGCACTGTTTAATTGCACGTTACATAGGATGCTCTTTTAAAAATTAGTTTTCTCTCTTCCTATTCAACCCTACTGTGCTGTTGCCTCTTACCTTACCAAGTTTACTACTCCTCAATAAATTTGTTTGCTGGGATGTGTTCCTTGCAATTGCCCGGGTTTTCTTTTTATTTGCACTGAGCACAGGGAATAGTGCCGATGGGAATGCTGCAGCTGACAACTCCCCGGTTTGGGAGTTCACTGACAAAGCTTCAGTTTCCCAAGGCAGTAAATTCTTGCTGTTGCAGGCATTAAATTTGCCTGATGCATGAAAGATCTGTTGGTGTTGGCTGGGAGCATGGTCACCTTTCAAGAGAGTGTAGTTTCAAAAGAGGGGCTGCAATTCCTGTCTAGGTTGCTCAGAGAACAAGGTTTTCATTTCACAGATGAGCCATGCAGGTTGTTTGGGTTTTTTATCCAGTCCAACCTAACTACAAGGCTGGAGGTTTCCAAAAGGAGTAATTGAGGAGGAGGCGGCTTCATAACCCAGTCCTAAATCTTCCCCATCTCAGCTGAAAGTTCTGTCTGCTACGCAATGCTGGAGGATCTTTCTTGTTTGAAGCACGCATTTGAATCTGGCACAGACTCTTGCTATAAATTTTGCTGAAACCAGAATGAAAGGCTGTAGGTTTTTTCCATTTGACAGTTTCTGAATTTAAAAAAATAAAAATGTCTGAAAGATTTATGATTGGCACTATGAAACTTAAAAATGAGTGAGACTGGGAATTTGAAAAGTATTTCCATTCTGTCTTCCCATGAAGTATTGAATATATGGAGTGAGATCTGATCTCGAGGAGAGTTGAGGGCTCTCTTGAAGAATTAGGCTTAGCAGAGAAATCACTTTATATGCCGCCAAAATCCAAGCAACCTCTTCAGTATAATGTAGTTTTTTGGGCTTATCACTGTATATTATTCTCTGACTCACTGTTCCATTAGATTAATTGTCATTTTCCATTAATTCTTTGGCTCACAGATGCTGCTGATTTGTTAGGCTCCCCATTTTTTTTTTATATCTTGCCAGATATTTTTCCATTGGTCATGGAATAAGGAATTCAGTTCAAGATGTGACCAGAATGAACAAGAAAGTTTAAGTAATTTGAAAATCACCCAGACTTCAAGATGTTGCACTGAGACTTTTACATATTATCTTTCAATTACACATATAATATCCAGTGTGCGTACTTTGTATCCCACTGATGGTTGCTCCACAAATGGATGTGAGCTTGGTTTGGCTACCAAATAGAAAATTAAGGACATGACGCAAAGTTCTTAGGAGTTCATCTATGGAAATTAATGTAATGTGGCTCAAATATTTTACCTTTTCCCCCTAGATTTGTAGTTTAGCTCTTGATCCAGTTCCTCTCAAGAGGTATGTGAGATGAGAGAGATGTGGCATTACCTCTGAGGTGTATTTGTCCTGCAGAATGAAATCCCTGGAATCTCAGCTGGTTGAGCACCTTATTGCAAACAGAATGTTGAATATGCAACATAGGATTTCTTCATCTGGTGGTTGAATACGGTTTCAAAACAAAATAGCATTTAAAAAAAATCCAATATCTTTCTCTTAAGACTTCAAAACATGGTGGTGTTTCCTTTAGCACCTTCTCTGCAACAACGAGGTCCTTCTCTGAGTGGGTAGATGGGAGGAGAAAGAAGAGTACTTGGCACAAGGAGTGATTTGGCCTTTGATGCTGTTTGGCTTTTTTTTGTTGTTGTTTGTTTGGGTTTTGTTGTTTTTTGTTTTTTTTACTGGAGAAGGCAATACATTTTCCTTGTGCACCAACAATCAAGAGAATGCCTCTATTTGTTGGATTGGATGCTGTAGATGCACTGACTTGCTTTTAGGTGATTCTAAGGCGTCCGGTTGAGAGCAGTGGACTGTCTGATGAGAAATAAAGATGACAGTCACAGAGCAGACACATTTTCTAGCACACAAGTCAGGTCTGAGGGAAACCCAGCACTGACAGCTTAAAGGAGCAGAGTCACAGCAGAGCAGGGTGTTCTGTGGTTTTGGGTTTTTTTGTGGATAGATTTAAAAAAAATAATCACAGAGTAATTTGAAAATCACCCAGACTTCAAGATGTTGCACTGAGACTTTTACATATTATCTTTCAATTACACATATAATATCCAGTGTGCGTACTTTGTATCCCACTGATGGTTGCTCCACAAA